CAGCCCTCCACAGGCCGTTTCTGCGGATCCTGTGGTGTCTGCGATCCGGAAGCCCACTCTTTCACCCCTTTGCTGATGCAAGTCCGGATGATGATCTGCTTCCTGCGGCCACTGAGGGTTGTATCAATACAAGAATTCAACAGAGAAACGGCTGACGATTGCGATAAAAAGAAACGAGTGAAGGCCTTTAAGAAGAAATGTGCCTGCCATGGGCTGTCGGTAGGCATCCAGAATACGGAGAGCAATGCAGCTGCAGGGCGCCAGGTCCTCCCAGAGCGTGGACGGGCTGAGGACGGCCAGCCCAAGGTTCGTGGGTTTAAGTGCTTCGGTCACTGAGGCTTAAGTGAGGACTTCTTTGCAATGAGTAGAATTTCCCTCTGTCCCTTGTCACAAGTTTAAAAACGCACAGCTTGTATAATGTAACCGTTTGGGGCCTGCTTTTCACTTGGATAGTGTAACTCCTTCATGCAATAAACTGAAAAGAGCCATGCTGTCTAGCCTTGAGGTCCCTCATTTCAACAGAGGTCACGCAGCAGCGCCTGGCAGTGTCCAGCCTGAAGCAGAGTCTGGCCAGAAGCTCCTCCCCCGAGTTCCCGGCCCTGGAGAATGTCGCCGCCTGAGCAGCCTTCCGTGCAGCTGAGAGGAGCGGGGAGGCAGCAGCGGCGCCTGTACCACTAGAGGGAGCCTTCGGTGTCAAAGACCTACCTGGTACACCTGACAGGTGGATGGAGCCTAGAGCAGCCTGCCACCATCCCTCCAGGGAGGTGAGGGCCTTCTGCTTGCCACCAAGGTCCATTAGCAAGGATATGTCCTAGCTAATTGTTGTCCAAACACCATCATTTGAGGCCAACCTCTATCAGAGTTAAACTTTTGACAAGGGAACAAATTTCAAACTGTCAGTCATGTAGCTAACGGTAGTGCTAGCAACAGCTGCCCAATGCCATGTGAAGTAACAAACTAATTTTTGGAGTGTTTTCTTTCCCTCCTTCAGTTTTAATGTTATGTAATGTATTTAAACACTTATTTAAATAAAACTTGTTTTCAGAAACAAAAAAAATATTCATCTTTAGATAACTTACTTTCAATCAAGAACTTATCAAAATAATGAAAGCATTTTATGTTCAAGACTATGAAATACAATAAACTACTAAGAGAATAATGTTTATACACTTGTTTCAATAAACGAATATATAAAAATAAACAATTTAAACACATGACTCAGAAAAACTCAAAATAAATGGAAGAAAAGCATATAAAAGTCTGAGTAGACAACAATTTCATAGATAAACAAGTAAAATTATAAAGTCAGCTAACCAACAACTAAGTCAAAACAACTACAGCTTTGTAAAATTAAAGAAATGGGTAAACCTATTTTTTAAAAAGGAGAGAATAGAAATACATTGAAAGAATTGGTGAGAAATGCAAAATACTTGACTCAGTTTCATGCAAATAAAATTAAAATATTTAATGGAACTGATAATTTTCTAGCTATATGTCTTGGCTATTATAAATAATGCTGCTATGAACATGGGTTGCATATATAGTTTTGAGTTCATGTTTTTGTTTCCTTTGGATAAATACCCTGAAGCAAAATTGCTGGATCATATGGTAGTTCTATTTTTTTCTATTTATCTTTTGCAGATCTCCCATACTGTTTTTCATAGTGGCTGCACCAATTTACAATCCAACCAGCAGTACACAGGGTTCCCTTCGATCCACATCTTCACCAGTATTATATTAACTCTTGTCCCTTTTTTATGATAGCCTTCCTAACAGGTGTGAAGTGATGTCTTGTGGTTTTTATTTGCATTTCCCTGATTAGTGATGTTGAGTACCTTTTTGTGTACCTGTTGGCCACCTATGCATTGTTTTTTGAAAAATGTCTATTCAGATCCTCTGCCCAATTTTCATTCAAATTGTCTGGGAAGAGGTTGCTATTAGGTTGTATGAGTTCTTTAAAGATTTTAAATATTAACTTTTTATCAGATATATGACTTGGAAACATTTTCTCCCACTTACTAGGTTGCTCTTTCTTTTCTTCTTTCTTTCTTTCTTTCTTTCTTTCTTTCTTTCTTTCTTTCTTTCTTTCTTCTCCCTTTCATTTTATTGATGACTTCCTTTTCCTTTGCTGTGCAGAAGTTGATGTAGTTCAACTTGTTTGTTTTTGTATTCTTTATATATACAAAGATATACATAATATATATCTTATCATTCTTGTCTGTGGGAAGATTAGCCTGATAGAAGTTACTTGGCCAATGTTGGAAGTGAAGTTCTATACATTATCTTAATTGACTTAATAGAATGGCTTTGCCTAATGATATCTGAATAGGCAACTTCCTCTAACAAAAATCTCTATTGGGTACATATTAGTACACAATAGATGTTTGTTGAAAATTTCAGTTAGGAATGTTAGTATGACATTTTACACAGTGAATTGCTGCTGTAAATATTCTTTAGACTAGAGCTCTGTGGGTATCAAAGCTTCTTCACAGCATGGGCTTAGGTTTTTTTTTAGCTCATCTATGTGAACTGTATGCTCAATGGAACAGTTGACTTGGATCTTTTGCTTATTATTACCATCTTGATTCAGGTTAGGTCAAGAATTGGCTATTGTCCTCAATCTAACCCTTTGCTTAACCACCTGACGGGCCGGGAATTGCTGATCATGTATGCCAGGCTGCAGGGGGTCCCTGAGCCAAATATCTGCAAGTATGTAGAAATCTTTTTGCTTTCAATGCACCTAGAAAACCATGCTGACAAGCTTGTCTACACATACAGGTGAGCTATTATTCTGCCTGCCTGTGTTTCTACTGTTTAGAAAGAATGCCTGCTAACGCAAACTGATCCCTCTGTCACACAGAGGCAATGACTATGAATAGCCTCATGTCTTGTCAGGGTTCTAATGTAAGGAATAAGGCAGATAAAGTTAACCTTTTGTAGAGATGAGCTATAGCCTTTGCATTTAAAAAAGAACACCTGCATCCTTATCTCCCTATGGTTCTTTATCTCCCAAAACAAAAATATTACAGCAATAATGATGCTGAAATAAATTACCAAAAATGCCATTTCAATGAGAATGAGTTACTATATACACCTGAATTTGGGCCTGCTACTTTGTGGTTCATATCAAATCAGCATTCTGGATATGTGAGCTAATTCTGTCCTGGAAATTAATGACTTGTGTATTCTTATTTTTTTCTTTCTCCTCCACTTTTCTCTCTCTTTTGACGATAAAGTAAAGAAAACAAACGTAAATTGAGTACTGTCATTGCCCTAATGGGAAAGTCCTCAGTTGTCTTCCTGGATGAGCCGTCCTCTGGCATGGACCCCATTGCCAGGCGCCTGCTCTGGGACACAGTAACATGGATGTGTAAAGCTGGCAAGGCTATCATCATAACCTCCCACAGGTATGACCTACTGGGACGTTTGGTTGAGAGTTAGGAGAGTATAGGAGGGAATTAGTTGGAGCCGGGAATATAAGTCAATGAACTTATCTAAGTATATGAGCTACATACATAAGAGGAGCTGTGGGTAGAAGCTAATTTGGGCTAAAGTCAAGAATCCTAAATTGAGTTCTGAAATCCAGAAGCAACAGAAAATAGGAAGTAAGGTCTTTCTGCCATGGATTTAGAAATCAACTGCTTTCAATTTTTAAAATCTTCTCTTCCCAAATATGGTCTTAGTGGTGATGTTCTGCAACACCAAGCTTTCCTACTGCAAATATTACCATATGGTCTTAGCTCTGCTTTGAAATACTGCCCTTATCCTCTGAAAGAGAGTCTCTTCAGCCAAATCTTCTTTGTCCCCTAGCATGGGAGAATGTGAGACCCTTTGTTCCAGGCTGGCAATCATGGTAAATGGGAAGTTCAAGTGCCTCGACAGACCTCAGCAACTCAAGAACAAGTTTAGTGATCTATACACTCTGACAGTAAAGATTAAGATTGATAAGAATGAAAATAAGCAAAAGGAGTTCAAAGAATTCATTGCAACAACATTCCCAGGTAATATAGGTAGGGCTTACTTGTTACAGCTGTGTTAAGTCATATCCTATGTAAAAAAGCCTAATAGGCTAAGTGTTCAGTCATCCGGTCGGCCATTCAACCAAAGCATAATATGCTAATGATATGCTAAGGCGCTCAACTGCTCGCTATGACATGCACTGACCACCAGGGAGCTGACAGTCTACCGGTCGACCAGTTGCTATGATGTGCACTGACCACTAGGGGACAGATGCTCCAACTGGTAGGTTAGCTTGCTGCTGGGGTCCAGCCAGTCAGGACTAAGTGAGATGGGCTGGATATGCCCTGGAGCCCTCCTGCAGTTCCTCCCCAGCTGGCCAACCTCCCATGTTCTTCCCTGGCCCCAACTGTGCACTAGTGGGGTCCCTCAGCCTGGCCTGCGCCTTCTCACAATCTGGGCTGAGGGACCCTCCCCCTCCAAGTGCACGAATTTTGTGCACTGGGCCTCTAGTATATAATAAAAATAAATGAAGTACACCTTTACACAACATGAATAAGAGAAAACATAAAATTAATGCAAACTATGTTTTTGCATTTATATGAAGTACAAAAGTGCAAAACCAAACTATAGGCTTCAGGGTTCCATATTTAGGTAATCTACACTAATAAAAGACAAACATGCAAATTGACTGTACCTTCGCTATGCCTTAAGCCACGCCCACCAGCCAATCAGAGCAACTATATGCAAATTAACCCAACCAAGATGGCGGCCAGCAGCCACAGAGCTGGAGAAAGCAGGAGGCTTGGTTGCCCCAATGATGGAGGAAGCCAAGCTTCCCAGCTCTGAGCTCCACTCAAAGCAACAAAGTTTCAATTATAGAAGGTAAATAAA